ACGCCGCTTTCTTTCACTCCACCGAATGGAACAGTAGATGTACTTATCATTGGTTCATTCAAACCAACCATACCACTTTCCAATGACTCTGCCATTCTCCAGGCTCGAGCTAAATCGCTGGTGTACAAATAAGATGCCAAACCAAAGTTGGTACTGTTTGCTCTTTTCAAAACCTCCTCTTCCGTATGAAACTTGAATAAACCAACTACAGGTCCAAAAGTTTCTTCACAGGACATAGTCATGGAATCATCCATGTTTGTTATCACAGTTGGCTGATAAAAGAGACCACCAAGTGAATGTCGAGAGCCCCCAATAATAATCTTAGCACCCTTTGATGAGGCGTCTTTCACATGTCTATCCACCTTTTCCACTGCTTTCTCATTAATCAAAGGTCCTAAATTCACCCCGGGTTCCATTCCATTCCCAACCCGCAGGGTCTTTACTTTCTCAACAACTTTGTGGGTAAATTCATCATATATGCTAGAATGGACATAAACACGATTAGCACAGACACATGTCTGACCATTGTTTCTAAACTTGCAAGCAATCAGCCCGTAAACTGCAGAGTCCAGGTTTGCATCTTCCATAACAATGAAAGGTGCCAAACCACCCAATTCCATGCTGACTTTCTTCACCGTAGATGCACTCTCTGACATCAGCCTCTTTCCAACAGCAGTAGAACCAGTAAAGCTTATCTTTCTTACAAGAGAATTACTTGTCAACTCTTCGCCAATCGGTTTAGCATGGAAGCCAGTCACTACGTTCAATACTCCTTTAGGGATACCTGCACGAGCAGCAAGTTCACACAAGGCTAAAGCCGATAATGGTGTCATTTCTGAAGGCTTACAAACTACAGTACAACCAGCAGCCAGCGCTGGTGCGGCCTTGCGAGTCAACATAGCACAACTAAAAAGTTCAGTAAGGAAGAACACTACGTAGGACAAGTACCTACGGGAAATTCCAGGGTGTTATCAAACCACAGACGCCTACAGGCTGTGGAAATACCAAAGCTCTCGTTTGAACACCAGCCGGAATGATATCACCATACAAACGTTTTGCCTCTTCTGCAAAAAATTCCACAAAAGAAGCACCGTATTTGACTTCCCCGATAGCCTCCGAAAGAGGTTTACCTTGTTCTGTAGTCATTATCTTTCCCAGATCTTCCGCATTTTTGAGAATAAGGTCAAACCATTTCCTCAATAGTGAGGAACGCTCCATAGAGGTAAGTTTCTTCCATGACTCGAAAGCTTCCAAGGCACTCTCTATGGCCCGCTGAGTGGTAAACTTACCACCATCAGCAACCTTTGTTATCAAAGCTCCTGTAGCTGGGTTCAGGACGTCAAACCATCCTTGTCCATCTTCCTTCAGAGCAGGTATAAATTCGCCACCAATGTAACACTTGTTTCTTAACAGCTGTGGATCCTTGAGTTCTAACTCACAAGTACCTTTCACTGCGTTCGAGACGAAGCTATGCCTTGTACTAACGGTTGCAAGTCTTTTCTTTAAGCCATTAAAATCTAAGCTTTTCAATAAAATGGCCTTTCCACTAGGGATAGTTAAAGGCCACGACACAGAACTATGACACTTGGGGTAGAAATTCATTTCCAACGACGGACCTTTCTGTTTTTCTCCAGCTGTTCTTCATTCTGTGTTTTATTAGAGGATTCTACCTCTCAGAAACATGAACCTGTGCTAGAGAAAATGAACGAAATAAAGGAATACTCCTTTCATGTGCATTCCTAATCTATTCAATATTATTTCTTGGTCACTTTCCATGGGAGAAATGTATCGGTTCCATTTCCATAGATTTTGAAAGACTCAAGTTTTTTTCCATTTACTAATATTGTCGATATTCTGTTGTTCGATATAACAAGACATAGGAAACCATAATCTGAACAATCCAAGACATTGCCATTGAACTTACTGACAAGTGCACACTGAGCAAGGTCTCCTATGGTCAAAAAATTCTGCTGTGAGTTAAGATAGACACAATAAATAGTCGATAGCAATAAAATATACAATGCAGTTTCCACTGTAAGGAATTCTCCCTTGTTGATGTTGAGATGTTAAATGCTTTCAGGAGAATGTGACGGAAATGAATGAAAAACTTACACCCTAGCACTTTTCTACTGTGCAAAACTCTATCCACATAGCAAAGAACTGTACCATAAACAAATTTCACTTCTCTCTTTCAATTTGGTGAAGGGATAATTCCAGAATACAAAGTTTATTCTGTCATTTTTTAATCTCAAGAACATTCACAAACATAAAAATGCAGTTTTCGAAGACAAGCCAATTAGTGACCATTTTGACATGCATGCACGGTGTCATTGATCAGATACTGAGGAGGAACATCCATTGTTGGATTCTGGTCAAAAAAGTTCGAAGGATGCATTGCAAAGCTAGCCTAAAAGACATAAGAAGTGGTATCTCCATCTTTACAGATAAAAAAAACAAGTCTTACTTCAATGACAGGCATAATAGGCCAGTCTTCACATTGAGGAACTATTCCAAAAAAGGAATATTCTATTACAACTTCAATGTCTTACGAACAACATTGTTACTTACTATGGGTAATGCCAAAGGAATACCAAACTACTATGTCCGTATCACGAATGTTCCGATTAAAATCCGTCCACTTGGCTAACCCTTCATCCTTTCTGCTTTGGTTAGGATAGTCTCCAGCAGGATAATATTCAAGTTCATCATATGGAGTAACCCATAGACTGTTCTTCACAAATTGACAACGTCGCACAATAGAGGAATGATCCAAAGCAAACGGATAGCTCACAGACTGAGGTATTATCTTGTACGAACAGGGATATCCCATTCGATTCCGACGATTACTAGTAGAAACCTTCCAATATCGAGCAGCCTCTGGATTCACTCGTCTTTGAGCTTCTTTCTCATGTTCAAATATGGTCTCTTCAACTTGAATGCCATTAAAGGTATAACAAGATTTGTTCGAATCAAGATATAAACGAGCCTTCTTTTCTGACATGGAAGAGACATTTAACTCGCTGACATAATTGTCTTCATCATCTAAATCAAAGTCAAGTCTCATACAATAAAAATGTTGGTGATACTGAGCATTGACATTCGGTGCCACTAAAGTTCCAAATGGACATTTCCCATCTCGATCTATATCCCATGCAGAAGTAAAAAGTTGTCCAGTGTGTTTGATAGTGAACTCAATCTTTCCATCCTGATGGAAATACCTAAATAGAAGTGGGACTACAGTAAAATACTGTCTTATTGGAAAAAATAGAAATAGAATACTATACCAATAGAGACCATATTCATAGTTAACAAATGTCTACATACAAATTTCATAAAAGAAATTATGTCATGAGGATTCCTTACGAAAGAGCACAAAAAATACTTACTGCCACGCAAGAAATTACTAACTTCCTTCCTCTTCGAACTTCTACATCTCCAGAACGAATATCCGAATGTTTCCATAATAGTCCAGAGTCTTCTTCATGTAAACATATGGCATTCTTTATTGTAACAGGGTTGCCAAGTGTATCATGAACAACAGCATCGAAATAGGTTATGACTCCCAAACAGTCACAACCAAGCTTCAGAGAGTTACAGCAAAACCCCAAGCCATATTCTCCAACATCAAATGCTCTAGGATTGAAAATAAAATAGATTCGCCAGAACTATAGTCGTAAATAATAAATGCTTACATCTTTCGATTATGTGGTGGTCGAGGGTCTCCATACGGAACTAACATTTCAGCTAATGATGCACGATGAAGAACTTTTCTGTAAGTTCCTTGGTCACAGAATTCAACATCTCTTAAAACTAAGGCTTCTCGAACATTGAATCCAATATGCAGTCGCCAGTTTTGCCATTCCACAACATGTCCATCCACTTGAAAACTAACTCCCTTAGGTTGGCAAGTAGAGAGAGGTTTCAAATTATCACGCAAATTCTCTTCGCCTAGTTGGCGAACAGTGTACGGATACTGGGTTCTCGGAATGGGAGATATCAGCTTCTCGTGGAGTGTATAATAGATTATTTCCATTAAGTTCAAGTCTACAATAGGTGTAAAGCCTTCGATAGGATGAGCATACAAATTATCATCTTTCGCATTCATTCGGCACCACAGAAAAACTTGCACTAAACGACGACTCTGTTCCCATGTCTCTCCATCATTTCCAATACCCCAACCATCCGCTATAACAAGATCCATATTATCAAAATGATAATACTTTTTCAAAATAAATTGAACTTTCGGATCCTTCTTCACAACTCTCTCCACCTCCACTAGTTCATCAAACATAATACGAGGTTGAACATCTTCCATCTGATAAAGATTTGTCAGCGGCCAAGT